GTGCACTGGAGAACCTGCCAACACCTTAGGAAACAGGTCACCCAGATGACCACTTAAGTGCCAAGCTGGTTTCATTTTAAACATCACAGACAGAAATGTCTGTGCCCCAGTGTGAGGTCAATGTTGAAGCTGGCCTCAGCACAGGAGGGCATCTGCCTCCGCTGGGTGAGAATGACCTTGGAAGACAAGGAGGCCAATGCCTGGGGCCCTGACCCATCGTGCTCATATCCTGGCTCCAGCTTGTGCTCTGAGTAAGACGCCATTAGCGGAACCACTGATAACAGCACCAGCAGCTACATCATGAGCCCCGAGCTCTCTCCTGCCTCCTTCCTAATTCCCTGTGGGGACAGTGTGTTTCCTTGGTGCTGCTGTGGGTTGACTTCAACCTTGGGTCCACAAAGCCCACCACAGCCCTTAAAAATACAAACCAACAGCCAGTTCAGGCACCAGAAGACTGAAAGGCAGCAGCAATGCTTCTTTACAAGATGGTGAGATGTGAACAGAGCTCTGGGCAGCAGCTCAGAAAAGCGTGAGTCACTCCCCGCCCTCTGGCTCAGGCCTGCCACCTCCTACACCAGCTACCTGGAAGCCCAGAGAAGAGTGAAAGCCACCATATGGCAGATCAGTCAGTGCACGTGGGCCTGCATCAGCCATGGTGTCTGGTGGGGTGCTGGACACCTAGAGCACCTAGCATCTCATTGCCTGGTTGGACTGAGCACTCACAGGGAGAGCCCCTCACACTCACACCCCACTCCCTAGGGATCTGCTCTGAGCTAGAAAATTCAGTGTAAGCACTGGGAATGAGAGGGCTGGAGAAGCTCAGGGATGTGGGTAAAGAGACCAGAGATAAGAGATGGCATTACACATGGGAAGAGGAGCTGGGGGGTGGCCCACAAGGGACACCCACGGGAGGTGTCCAGGGCTGGCAGGAAGCCTGGCCAGCCAGAAAGTTCTGGTGAAGGCAAAGGGTCCTGCGGGTGTCATGGGGTCTCCAGGTCTTCCAAGGAGCACAGCCTTGATTCTGGGACTCCTGCAGCAGTCACCTGCATCCCCCACCAGCCTCAGACAGAGGGTACAACCCCTATTGTCCAGGCCTGGTCAGGACTTCCTGGGTCTTCCACCCATCCCTGGGGCACAGCTGGGCTCCCAGGGAACAGTGACATAGACTCTACACGAAGTTTTGAAACCACAAAGGGAGGTGCCCCCAGAAAGCAGCAGATATGGGGAGACCTGGGTGGCCCCAGACATGGCTCATCCCCTTGTCATGAGGGAAGCCGGCTGGACCTCTGCACACTCAGCCATGCCCAGACTTTGTCAAAGCCTGAATTAGAGAGGGCAGTACTCTGATGACTGGCCCCTGGAGATGCTCCAGAGGCTCTGCCTTGCAGAATCCAGTGCAGCCCTGGATTCTCCACGGGCTCTCAACCCAGGGCAGCCTCTGATGGTCAGTCCAATGGCCTGGCTGTGACCCTCTATGGGTCTCCCAAGAAGGACTCCTCTGGTCTCCAAATCTCCCCTAGCCTGGCTTTCCCCAGTATCCCATCCCCATCCCTGATCAGAGCATCACCAACTGACCCTTTACCACGTGGCCTGGCCATCCTCACAGCCTTCCTCCCCTCTGACTGTGCCAGCTCAGCATGACAAAGGCTGCCCCGTCCCTCACCTGACCTGATGTGACTCCACAGCCTATACCTCCACCTCAGGTTTTGTTTACTGTTGTGTCCCCAGGGCCTGAGTTACAGGATTTCAAAGATAATTAAGATATTTCCCATATAAATAAGGGTAGGCAGGTATATAAAAGACCAAAATAAGCAAAGCCTTCTAAGCTAAATTCTCCTGGAAATAGGAAAGTATAAACTTAAGAAGTATGGCAAGAAGAGCTTATTTTGAAGATCTGTGCAGATCCATCCCTACAGAAGTTGATATGCCACAATCCCCAAGGGTCCCAGGAGGAGCAGGCCAGAAGGAACCAAATCAGCCAAAGGGCAGGAACACCATTTCTGTCTCACCTCATCTTGGGTCTCGTTTTGTCTGCATTTAGCTACAGATTGTGGCTCTGATGAGCAAAAAGAGCAAAGCAAGTCTTCAGATAGCATCAAAACAATCCACTTAAGGACACCCTTTCTCCGTTACCCCACACAGCTTCCACAGTACCCAAGTTTACACAAAGGTACAAGCATGTCCTGGGTGCCCCCTGCTGTCTAGCACCCGCAACTGCCAGTCCTGCAAATAGCACCTGGAGCCACTGCCACCAACCCATCTCAGGTGAGTGAAACCAAACCAGTCCCTCAGTATGATGCTCAAATCCCTCAGGTGGTGGAAGGACCAACAAGGAACAAGAGTTGGGTGCTGTGGGACACAGCGTCCGAATGCATCAGATTTGGGCATGGCTTCAGCTAACAACGGAGTTCAGGGAACACAGGCCAGGTAAGCCTGGCCTGCAATGGCATCTCAAGCCATGGGAAGATCAGTGTCCAGGCAAGGTGAAGGGCTGGCAGACTGCTGAAAAGAAAGTGCAGGGCAGTTTGGCGGGAGGCCCAGGGGGAGTGGGGGCAGGAGGAGCTGGAGATGAGGACCAGGTAGGCCTCACAAAGGAGGAAGGTGACGAGGATGCGGACGCTCCTGCCCACATGGCAGCACCCTCCACACAACGTCCCCAGAGGAGACCGCACAGCCAGGTCATCAGGAGGACTAGGCCAGACTCTGGCACTGGCCACCCACCCAGAAAGCGCAAGAACAGAGCAGCCCTGTGGCAGTGCGGTGCGGGCGGCGGGGTGGGGGGCAGGTGCTGGAATGACCCCCGCTCATCAGGCTTCAGACCCTGCTACCTACCAGTCAGAGACCCTGCTGCCAGCTTCATGGCCTCTCCATAGGGCCACTTACCACGTGAGTGACATCCCAGTGCTCTGCTGCATTCTTATATTCTAAGCCAGGCACAATTCACCAGAACCAGCTGCACCCTAGGGAAGGGGATCCAGGGGTGTGAAGACCAGGAGAAGGGGCTCGGGCATCTCGGAGGCTCCTAACATACCTGCCAAGAGCAGTCAAGGAAAGGACAGATGAACAAGCTCAATGGGCTTCCCCCAGGAAGAGCCTGCCAACGAGAATGTCACAGTTATTTGTAGCTCCCACACTATGGAATCTTTAGGCAGAAAGTCAGGAAAGATTCTAGCTGTGCATATAATGAGAAAACGACCACTTCACAGTCACATGGTCTAGAAAGTGCTGCAGAGCCTGTCTGTGTCTGGGTTTCCAGTCTGTAAAATGGCTGTGCTAGCAGGGCCTGGTGGCTCACCTCTGCAATCCCAGCACTTGGGAGGCTGAGCCAGGGGGATTGTGAGTTTGAAGATAGCCTGGGATACAGAGCAATACCCTGTCTCAAAAAAAAAAAAAAAAAAAGTAGCCATGCCCACAGCCCCCTTGCTATGCTGTTCTGAAGACTGGCAGCAAAAGACGTGAGACACTCAGCCCATGCTGAGTTCGAACAGGTGGTGCTGGCAGGACTCTGGATGTCAGTAGGAAGGAGACCCAGTATCCCCTCGGAGGTGAGGAGAAGTCAAACTAGCCAAAGCCAACTTCAGTGGTTTCCTAAGCTGCCACCCTGACACTGTGCACAGGTGCTTCTCCCTCCCCTGGAGCTCAGACCCTCTGAGGTCTTCCCCTAGACAAACACAGATTCAGTGCACTGAGCAGGAACCCTCCCTGAGGGGCGGGCTGGGCAGTGACCCACCTTCTGGTCCAGCCCAGCCCTGCTGGGAGTGTTCCCAGCCCTGGCTGGGCCCTGCACCACGGCCTCTCTCCTGACCACATGCCTTTCACTTCCACAGCTCAGCACGGCACTGCATCTGACCCTCATGGTCACTTAGGCAAATATGAGCTGACATCAGCGCAGCCGCTGCAAACAGGCATGTGGTCACCCACTTCTAGGAACCTTCCTGCACAGTGTCACACAGCCCCATGTGTGTGCTTGAGGGGACACAAGAATGCTCACGACGTCCCCCTCAGAGCACACCGTTTCTATCTGCCACAGCCCAGCAGCTGTACCCCCACAGAGTGGCATTCTTAACAGCGCACAAGGAGTCCTGAAGACAAACGCTGTGACTCAAACCTGCAATTGCACCGCCAGAACTAAAACCACGGAACCACAGTGAGAAGTCAGGGTGCCAGGGCTTGGGGGAGGGAGGAGAGAGGAACCGGCGAAGCATGGACATCTTTAGGGTGGGGTCGCTGCTCTGTGCAGTGTCACATGGTGGTTACAGCACTGTACATTTGTCCAAACGCAGAGCAGGAAGCCTCATGTAAACCATGCCCTCTTGTTAGTAGTGCTGTACCAAAGTGCTCATCAACTGAATGTGCCACTCTCATGCACAATGACAAGCATCAGGGCACTGTTAACCATGGCAGGGAGGGGATGTGGAAGTTGTACTTTCTGCTCAAGTTTTCTGAAAACCTAAAACTGCTCTAAAATATTAAATCTAGCACCTGGCATGGTGGCACACTCCTATAATCCAAGTTACTCAGGTGGCAGAGGTAGGAGGACCATAGTCTGAGGTCAGCCCTAGGCAAAAAAGTACAAGACATTATCAGATAAATAAACTAAATGAAGCAAAAAGGGCTAGCGGTATTGCTCAAGTAGTGGAGTACCTGCCTAATGAACACAGGCCCTGCATTCAAGCCCCAGTACCACCAAAAACTAAATTAATTTAATGAAATATAAAATCTGTTCTTTAAAGAAAAAGAATATAGACACAGAGCCTCTATCTGAGCCAACATTACATCTTTAGGAAGGGGGAAGTGGTTTTGTGGGATTAAACAACTTCATGTCTGAGCAGTGTTCCCACCATGTCAGGCACAGAGGGGAGGTGCAGGGATTGGGAAGCTTCCGTTCTAAACAACTGGGGGGGACGGGTATCCAGGTGGACTCAAAGGTCAGTCAGGTGTGTCTGTAAGGCTGATTTTCATCTTCAGAGCCTTGCGGAAGAAAAACCAAAGTGACCTACCTCCAGGTCATCAAGGGAGCGAGTGACGCTGAATCTCTTGGACCTTCCAAATGATCTCCGAGCAGGCGAGCGTTGGGAACTCTGGGAAAGTCTAATTCCCCGGCCAAATTTTGAGCCCTAAACAAAAAGAAAAAAATGTGTCAGGTTACCCTGCTGGAGAGAGATGCCAGGGCTGCCCTTTGTGCTGCACGGAGAACACAGGATGCCCCAGCTCAGTGATCAGGGAAAACTGCACCAAAGCCATCCGAAGGCAGAGTTTATGTGAAGTGTGTTGTACACATCAAAAACTGCAAAACGGAAAGAGTCGTCCAAAGACCTTCAGGTATTTGCTCCACCAGCAGAGCTGGGGGCTGTTACCAAGGCCGGTTTCAGTAAGTCGGGTTTTTATGTAATCTTACAAGCGTTTTAGGAAATGAAAGACTCCCTCAACATTCCACTGGAGGCCCATAACCAATGCAGTTCTTAACCCGTGTCATGGCTGTTCCTTCAGACCACGGCAGACTTGAGTCAGTCCAGTAAACACTGACCTGGCGCCTGTCACATGCAGACACTGCCCAAGTGGGATGGGTCTGACAGTAAGCACTGCATCTTAACAAGCAGCGAAAGCCTCGCAGCTGGCAAGCTTCTTTGCCAACACTGAAATTCTGAGACCACCTAGGCCTGGAGGAGGTCACTATGTTCATGAAAGGGCCAAGAGCTCTTTCGCCTGCCTGAGAAGCTTGTCCACTGTGTGGGAGCCTTGAAGGAATCCCTTGAAAAGCTCAGTGCAGTGTCCTGCCACAGACAGCACAGGAGCGATGCCCTGGCCTTCCAGAATCTGCAAGTGCTGCCCTGCTGGTGTGCGTCGCGCCTCTTCTTCCCTGGCCTCCAAGTCTCCTAAGATCCACGTTCTGTATGTGGCTCCCACTGGGCCCCTCCATCTTCCTCAGTTTCAGAATCCCTCCTTCTTTTCCAAGTCCCACAATCATCCAAGTCCTTCCTCCTCAGTGGCCAGTGCCCCCACCAACCACTCAGCCTCTAACTTCCTACCCTCCCTCTAGAGTCCTCTGCCTGACATGCTTCACTGGGGCCTCCAGCCCACTGGTGTCTCACCTCCTGAAGTCCCTGCCCCAATCCAGTCCTCACATCCCCTTAGGCAGCCCCAGGTCCCAGCCTACTGTGGAGATCCCACCCTTACACACTTGGGGTCCACTTGTCCCACATCCAAGCAGCAGTCAGGCCAGGCTGCAGCAGAGGGAAACAGCAGGGGACAGTCAAAGCAAGGCTGCACTGAGGGGACACTGAAGCCACCACAATGGAACACAGCTGGGAGGGAGCTAGGAACAAAAGAAAACTGAACTAAGGGGCAGCAGGAGGAAAAGATGGGCAGGGAGGGGACAGGACGGAGTGAGAAAATAAATGGCAGGCCTAGAGAGGACAAGCAAGGCATCTGCTCTCAGAATGGTGGCATCACAGGATCAGGGTGCTTAGAACCGCAGTGAACCCCAGCATCTGCCTAATGCCAGCAAAATTCTCACCTAGAGCCGTTCACGTGACACTGCAGTACAAGGGCCCCCTCCTCCTGCCAGGTCACCCCCTGAGCACCATGACTGGCACGTGCCAGCCAGCACCAGTGTGGGAAGCACACACATACTGACCTGGAGGAAAGGTGAGGAGTGTGCAGGGAGCACAGAGAGGTGCCAGCCACCACTTGCCTATCCCATGCAGTTGCCACAGGGCACATACAGAATGGAGCTAGCACTCTCCATGGGGAGCACCCCAGCCATGGAGCCTGCAGAGGAGCCCAGAGGCACCTCCCAAAGAGGGTGCTGCAAAGCTGGGCCTGATGCCAGGCAGAGACCCCCGTGTAGGGAAAGCAGGGGCGATGGCACAATCTTCTGAGCAGGCAAGAGGTCCAGCACCCTGGGCAGCTACCTGCCAGGGTGCTGGGGACATATAGGGAAGGGGCCACCTCTGTGCCACAGCCACACACCAAGGCAGCTGAACTGTGTCCTCCAGAAAGCCACAGTGGGCCATAAGGCTACCAGCCAGAGGTGATGTGAAGGCAAGATGGGCAGGTGCCAGGGTGGAGCTGACCACAGGGCCTCTTGCTTGGCTGAGCTGCTATATAGCCATTGCTTAAGTTCACTCTGAGACACTAAGTATACAGGAAGATCTGCCTGTCCCCAGCTAAGGAGCAGGCAACCTGTGTATCCGGCATCTCTGAGGCTCAAGCCTACATACCACTGGGCTGGTAGCTCAGGGGCCAGTCACTGGTCTGGGGTGACACAGGTTCCTGTCTCCTGTTGATCCACCTGTGAGATCCTCAGGATGGCTCCAATTCAAATACAGATGTGTCTTCATTGTGTCTGCTCCTAATGACAGGCACTGCAGGCCACCTGCCACAGAGGGCTTTGCTATTGACACCCTAACCAATTTCTGTGGTTGTGATGTTACAATCTGGCCAAAGGAACCCACTCTCTTTGCCACTTAGGCCAGTGTTCTGTGTCTACACCCTTTTGCCCTCCTTACCCTGAAGTAGCCCACTTGCCGGATCACTTTGCTAGCAAGTAATAAGTGTGATAGATTCTGGAGAAACACTTGTCCAGCAATTTCTTTTTCAAAAAGTATGTCCAAAGCTGATTCTAGCTCTAAAATGTGCCCAGAACCCAGCAGTTCTCTTCCAGGCCTCCTGCCCAGCCTGGTCCCAGGGACCAGCATCTTTGGATTTAGCCTCATGGGTTTCCCTGCCAGATGGCCCTGCTCACACCTTCAGGGGCTCCAAAGCACACTCTGATCTGCCACCCAGACTCCCCTGGGCATCCCCCCACAGCCCTCAACCCAAATGTTCCCTCTGTACAAGACCCATACACTCCTGGCCTTCCCTTCTTGTCCTTCACACCACTGAGGCTGTACAAACGACATGGGGACCTGACTGCACGACAATGGGGTGAGTCACTGAGTGCAAGGACTGCTTCACAGCCACACAGATGGGGCTGCTGCAGCCTGTAAAGTGATGACACGGAAAAAACTCAATCTTCTGCAGACAGAGGCAGCTACAACTTGGCGGAAACAGAAAATGAACCAATTGCTTTGTGATAACAGCAAGGTTAATTTCCAAAGTTCCAGGACCACTCAGGAGCCTGCACGGGCAGCCAGGCCATCCCCAGGTGAGCTGCCCTCTGCCATCAGCCTGGGAACTAGCACTCACCACACACCGCACAAGTGAAGCCTGACACGTTGTGAGAGTAGGAAGTTTAAAGAAGGAAAAATCTCACCATCAAGCAGACAGAAAACCATCCCTACAAGAACCACATCAGCTCAGGCAGTGACTGCAAATGATTCAAGTGGCCCTTCACCAACCAGGAGAAACTTTCGCCTTTGCCTCCATTTCTCAAATCCACAGCCCACTGCCCCCTAGTGGATGAGAAGTAAGCTTTGCACCTAATGAACTCAGAGTCACCAATGCCAGGGCACCCTCTGCAGGTCCACCATCATCCAGTTCATCCAGGCAGGCTCTCCACAGGGAAGCACACAGTAAGGAGGGTTGCACAGGTGAAGAGCACAGGTACACGGTACGCAGGCTTTCTCTGAAACACCGTCTAAGGTGAGAAGGGCTCATCACTACCGCAGGAGACGCGAGCAGGCCTGTGCAACCATCTGCACTGCCAGCTGTGGCCACTGCTGCCCATCCCTCAGTAGGCTACCAGAGCAGCAAATTCACCTCACTGCCCAGAGTCCACACAAGGCCCCGCCAGCCAGAGTCCAGGCATCAAAAACACGGCCCCAGCCAGCACATGGCCAATTTGCTTCAGAGAGAGCCAAAGGGCCCCAGGAGAAGCCACCTGCCAGGAGATTGCCACCTGGAAGTGCATGGGTGCAGGATTCCCAGCAGGAGACCTGGCACTGTGGTTTTCCGTTATGGATGAGGCCCAGGGAGCAGTGGGTCCCCAAAGTGAAACACCTAGAAATGGGGTGGTGGTAGAGTTAGCAGGACTCCTCACTTCCCAGGGTGCCAAATTCCCAGGACAGAGTAAGAAATCACGTTAGTACAGAAGCCACCAGGACAGCAGTCAGTCTAGCCCACAGTTCTACATATGAGAACCTAAAGCAGGCAAGTACTGGTTCAAGACACAACTGGCAGCTGGCTGGGATGAGACAATACTTAGAACACTTCAACATTTTTAGTTTAATTTTTACCCTTCTAACCCTTTCAGTAGGGTTTAGTATATCCACAATGTTGAGGAGCCACCACCACCGTCCACCTCCAGAACTTTTTTATCTTCCCAATCTGCATCTGTCCCATAAAACACGAATTCCCCAGCCCCGTCCCAGCACTGGCACCCACCACTCTGCTTTCTGCCTCTCTGAATTTGATGGCTCTGGGGACCTCATCCAATTGGAATCCCTTTGGATGAGCTTATTTCTTGTGCCACAGTGTCCTCAAGGGTCACCACGTTGCAGCGTGCAGGATGCAGCATGCAGGGCTCCTCTCCTTTGTAAGGCTGAATGGCGTTTCACTATATGAACAGGTCACATTTTGTTTCCCCATTCTTCTATCAGTGGACACTTGGGTTGCTTCCATGTTTTAGCTGCTGTGAAAAATGCAACTGTGCCCAGGTGCAGTGACTCACGTCTGTAATCCTAGCTACTTGGGAGGAATAGATCGGGAGGATCGAGGCCAGCCTGGGCATAAAGCAGGACTCTATCTCAAAAATAACCCACACAAAAAAGGCTGGCAGTGTGGCTCAAGTGTAGAGTGCCTGACTAGCAAGCACAAGTCCCCGAGTTCAAATCCCAGTACAGCAAAAAAAAAAAAAAAAAAAAAAAATCTGTGAACATGGCTGTACAAATGTACAAATACCTGTTCAAGTCTCTGCTTTTTGAGGTATACTCCAGAAGTGGAAGTGCTATTCACATGGTAACTCCATCTTTAAATTTTTGAGGAGCTGTCATACTGTTCTCCACAGTGGCTGTACCACTTGACAACGCCACCATCAGAGCACAAAGGTTCCAATTTCTCCACATTCTTGCCAATACCTGTTATTGTTTTTGAGGGGATGGCTTTGGTTTTGACAGTAGTCAATGCTATTAGTGTGAGGTAGCACTGCACTGTGATTTTGATTTGCACTTTCCTG